CTGCCGACTTCTATTTTCTTCATGAAAGGGTAGGCAAGGATGTCAACAGGAAGTGAGAATTGGGGGGAATGGTATTGGTTTGCAGAGAAGAGAAGGTAAGTGGAAGTGTCAGTTGACGGTGGGAGTGTGGTGGCATTGCTGGGCAGTGTTAAGGGTCCACTTGAAATGTGTGCTCTATGTGAAATCATCTTCAACATTAGACCCTGGGGGGCCTCCCTGGTGCTGCAGGGAGTTAAGCACAGCACTGTGAAACTATCTGCACCCACTGCATCACGAGTTCAATCCCTGGCCAGCCAGGGAGGTACCCACATGGCGCAGCAGACCTCTCCTGTCTCACCCACTGCTCCCCTCAGCAGTGTATTTTGGTCAGTGTGCCTGTTCTGCTCCCCACTCTGTCTCTGGTGAATCCTCTCACCCCGTGCACCTCTGGCCTGTACCTCAGTTCTTGTATGCATAAATAAATAAATCTCTAAAAAACAAAAAAACAAAGCGGAAAACATTAGACCCTGATTGGGTTTTTCTCTTTCTACAATGCAGACTCTCTCTGGATCCTGAGGGCTACCAGCAGTCAGCATATCAGTCCATCGGTTATTATATAATTTATTTACTATGCATTAATGTACTTTACCATTTAGTCATTCATTCATTCAATCATGTTTATTGGGTGCCAGACACCAAGTACTGGGGTTACAACAGTGGACAAAACAAACATCAGCCCTCAGGGAACATATCTTCCACAACATGGAAATATATGAGCCCTCAAATTTGGTAGATATGAACCCTCATTGACAGCCAGTTAGGGGCTTCCCCTGGCGGCACAGCAGTTGAGCGCTGGGCAGCGAAGCTGCCCGCAGCCTTTGCAGCACCGGTTTGATCCCCAGCGAGGGTCCCACATGGCTCGCAGACCTCTCCTGCCGCCCGCTGCTCCCCTCAGCAGTGTACTTCGGTCCTTCTGCCTGCTCTGCTCCCTGCTCTGGCTCTGGTGAATTCTCTCACCCTCCTGTGCCTCTGACTGTACCCAGTGCTTGTATAAATAAATAATATTTAAAAAAAAAAAGAAAGCCAGTTAGGAAGTGAAAGTTTCCATATTTAAGTCCTCAGAAATGGAGTCACCTAAGTCCTTAGAAACAAGACTACCACGACAGGTTGGGCTGGCAAAGGGGCTAAGGATGTGCAGCCTGCCTCAGGGAATGCATCTGTTTCTCTCCCACCAGTGCTGGCCTGACGCCATGGAATCCAGCCAAGTGCAGCAGACAGAAGAGTAGTCTGCTGGAATTTTTGTCTCAAGTGTCAGAACAAGGATTCATCATGATCATCAGAAAAGCATGAATTAATTGGCCACTTTAACAAAACAGGATCTGCTCCATCCAAATTCTCAGGACTACATAAATTTTAGAAGATACAACTTCTTTTGAACTTTGAATATGTCCAAGATGCAATAGCGTATATACTACAAAGGAGGACGTTACATCTCCTCATTTTATCTTCCTTTCTTCCTGACCTGTTTTGGCCCTTTTCTTCCTTACTTCCTTCTTCCTTGCTCATTAATTTTCATCTGCTTTAGATTTTTAACAGAATAAAGGTTTTTAGAGCCACTGACTCAGGAAGTCATTATTTGATTGTAGGTAGTAGTCAGTGGATTCCAGGAAGAATACTCACTTTAATTGAAATCAGGGTTTCCTCTGACTCTAGGCAATTGGTGTGAGAAGAGTGGAATGGGGGCATGGACTATGAGTTCCCTCAGGGAAGAGATTTGGGTCTTCAGATTTCACAACTCTGTTACAAAGAAAAAATCCAGAAAAAATTCAAGAATAGGGTGAATGAACTTTGCTCTCTATTCCTTTGCATTAACAGATACTGCTTACCTGTTGTTTCAAGAAGGGAGTATTGGAACATGACTGGTTTTCTTTAACTATTATACAAGGAGCATGTCCCCATGCCATATCTGTCATTATACAGTAGATGTCAGCCTCCCACAACCTTTCTCTTCCTGAATCCAAATTCATAGCAAAATCATCCTTTCCCTGGTTAAAAGGATCAATTTCTTCCATCTTAAGCATATAAAACAACGATAATTAGTCACCCAACTTAATGTAGTGTAAACACATGGTGATGCTCAATGATGCACACCTAAAGCTGAAAAAATACTATACAGCATTTTAAAATTTTTTACTTCAATAAAAAAAAATTAAATAAAGCATAACAATAAATAGTCAACCAAATATTGGAAACAGCTGTACTAAAGGATGTGGTCAAACTTTGTAGTACTAACAGGACAACAGTGTACCAAGGACACTGTGAAGTGGGTGACAAGTGTTGGCGGGAGGCACATTAAGTCCTGTGTGTCTGATTGAGCTGATGTAAAGTGTTGGCACAAAGGGAGATCTCTAAAAAGGTATGGCCTTGACCCTGATCAAAGGTCTTCTGTTTTCCTCAAAGTCAAAGAAGTAGCTATGGTATCCTGGAAAAAGTTCCCAGCATAAGCCATTGATATCATTGCTTGTCCATGAAGAGATGCTCTGTCTTGTCTTTGATCCCAAGCAAGATGCTTCTTTGAATCTCAGCTTCCTCATGTGGAATTTTGATACAGGGTTTATTTTACAAAAAAAGACCCCCACCTAAAGAGAGCCATGTCACATGGATAAATACTCCCGCGGAAGAAGGGAAGAGTCCTTTCCTAGTCCTTACATGGTATCCAAAATAGACACTTATCATCTACTTATAAATTCCAAGTGCTAAGGAAATAGAAAAAAATATCTTCAACAACCCTTCCTTTCCAGTTTGGTGTACTTAGTACAACTGTATTCCAAGAATATATTTACTACCATCTTCCCCCTTAGCCGCTTAGTTCATAAATTGAAATGTCTGAAACTTACCATATAGTGGCCTGTTTGTACTGGCTTTGGCCAGATGCCTCAGATTCATCCCATTCATGTTTTATGTCACATTGAATCTATATAATTTAAATTAGAAGCACAAACCTTAATGAGAAAGGCTCTCATGCTTAAGAAGCAGAGAGATTGTTTTATACCTTGATGCTGAAATTTGAGCAGAAGTCTTTTAATGAGATTATTTAAGAATGAATCCATCAAACTTTCCCTCAATGCTTTCTGACATGTCAGGAAAGGCCAGAGGCAATGCAAATTAATTTTTTATCTCCCATAACTCATGCCCTCCCATGGAGTTTTACCCTATGTGTTTTGTATTTCCTGCTTTTCTATCTCCCTCCCCGCCCTTTTTTTTTTTTTTTTTTTTTTGCTGAGGCTTTCAGTTTGTTGTATCTTGAACTGACAAAAGAAGGGATTGAACTCCCAACCTTTGAAACATCTTAGTACTTGCTGAGTGATCCAGACTGTTGATTGGACTTTATCCCATTTGGAAATGCCTTTGCCACAATGGCTAACCCCCACGGCCCCCACCCTGCTCATGTCCCTTCTAAGTATTAAATATTTATTTACTTAAAATCCAAAATCTTTGGAAGATTTTTTGCAAAAGTAAGATCCAATTTCTGTAACTAGTGGTCAGTTGGGGAACTTTATCTTTTAGGCCCACTTTATTTTTTATTTTTAAAACATTTATTTGATTTATTTGTTCATACAAGAGCTGGGGTGTAAGCCAGAGGTGGGAGGGGAGGGTGAGAGTATTCACTAGAGACAGAGTGGGGAGAAGAACTGGCAGATTTGACTGAAATACACTGCTGAGGGGAGCAGCGAGGAGGAGGCAGGGGAGGTCTGCTGCCCGGTGCGGGTCAGCTCCCTGGCTGGGGATCGAACTTGTGCTGCAGTGGCTGCCAATAGCTTCATAGTGCTGTGCTTAACCCCTTGGGCCACCAGGGAAGCCCATTAGGCTTACTTTAAAATCAAATAATTTTACACAATATACTTAATCCAGATTCAAAATATCTTTACATTTATAGTAGTCTCATACATTACATCTAGTTTTGTGGGGTTTTTTTTTAAAGTACTTTACAGTTGTAAGTAGGCATCAGTGCTCTCACCCCTGAGGCAGAGTTTCTGTCTGAAATTCTTCAGGGAAGCAAAGAATATCAATATGCTAATAGGTTAGTAATTTCTTAACATCAATATTCTGCTTCATTAGGACAGAAGTGCCAATTACTCCCATCCCGACATCATCTGCCTTTCGGATAATTTATAGATGCAAAAACTATTAGAAGCTGTGAATCAGAGCTGTGGCGAGTGAGGCCACCATCTCTTCCGGATGATTTTGTTTCCATCCTGCCTTTCACGCCTCACAATTGTACTAAATTAAACTCTTTTCCTAGTCTTAATTCTTCCCTTTTCCCCTTCACCGTGGATTTTCACCTATTCTGAGAAACTTGAAGATGATATCCCTACAACCCTCTCTCTTGTATCCTCAAATGACCCCGACATAAATATTTTAAATCCTTCGCTCCTGGCGTTAAAAGTCTGCCCAACCGGTCCCTTCATTATAAAGCGCCCAGACGCTGCCTGACCTGGATCGCGATCCTAGCGAATGAACTCTCCTGGAACAGCTGACACGGATGGGTTTTATTTCCACTTCTTACAAGGAAAAAGATGGAGAAAGGGAGATGACTCCAACGAGAAAGACTTTAATCCATCTTCTCGGTGATCTTGGGGTGTGTGTGCTAAGATTAAATTGAAGAGGAGGGAGGGCCTCCCTGGTGGCGCAGGGTTAAAAACAGCGCTATCAAGCTATGGCCAGCCACTGCAGCAGAAGTTCGATCCCAGCCGGCCAGGGAGCAACCCACATGGCGCAGCAGACCTCTCCTGTCTTGCTCCTGCTCCCCTCTGCAATGTGCTTCAGTTAGATCCGCCTGTTCTGCTCCCCTCTCTGTCTCTGGTGAATCCTCTCACACACCACACCCCCCACCTCTCACCTACACCCCAGCTCTTGTATGCATGAATAAATAAATCTTTTGGAAAATAAATAAATAATGAGAAGCGGAGGGAGGAGACAGGATGGAACGAACAGAGGCGGTGGGCGGAGCCAGCCCGGCACATAAAAGCCCTTGCTAAAAGGGACGTGCAGTCGTGAGTGCCGAGCTGCTCTGTAGCCAAGAGAGATGGGGCAGTCGGTGCAGTGAGGACGGAGGTCGCAAGAAGGAAAACAAGGGCAGCAGGCAAGCGAGAAAGAAGCGGATATCTGGCAAAAGCTGACGGCAGAAGACCTAGAGGGCTAAAGGAGCCCACAGCAGGTGGAGACAAGATCTAGAACAAACCGGTCCGGTCCACAGTTGTTTTTCTGGAAGAGAAGAAAGTGGTGGTGGGGGGATTGCCTTTCTCCCCTGCAGTTTATGAAAACTACTTTTATCCTCTTCAGAAAAGAAAAGGCTTAAGGGAGGTAAAGGCACTCTCTTTACTTAGAGGAGGGGGGGGGGGAACCTAGATTCTTTCAGAAGCCTCTGAAATAACCCACAGTTGCAGATCCACCCTGGTTTCTGAAGATTTACATCCCTTTCGGGAGAATTCCAGCCGGAGTAGCTGGTACAGTTCTATTTTTTTTTTTTTTATTTAAATATCTCTGTCTCTTCCCCTATCCGGTGCCTTCTAACACTTTCCTTGTTTGTAAGCACAAGTGTCAAGAAAGTGTCAATCCGGAGTAGGAATATTTTTAGTTTTCTCTTTTATCTTCCAGTATCTTTTTTTTTTTTTTTAAAGAGGTTAGGAGGGGTCCTTATTTCCGAAAAGGACGTCTTAATTGGAGAGGCTCTGCCTCTAAATAGGTTTACACACATACCCACTTAGAAAGAGCTACCTTTCAGAGGTTGGCATCCCACTAAGAAAGATGGAAGAAGGAGCCAGGCAGCGAAACAACGCTGCAAAGAGCCATCCAGGTGGGAGCGAGGCGGAGGCGAGTCCCGACACCGGTTCCGAAGGGGGCGGAGTAGCCCTGAAGAAAGAGATTGGATTGGTCAGTGCGTGCGGTATCATTGTAGGTGAGTCCAACTCTTTCCCCAGACCTCGCTCCCCCTCCCCGGTGGTCATCTTGTCGACCTTCTGATGCACTAATGTCGCTCCCACTGCTTAGAAAACCACTGGCAGTCACCTGTGGGTAACAGACACCCACTGGGTCAAATTTGAGAGGTGGAGGGTGTAGGTCAAACGTCTCTTCCTCCAGCCCAGGATGAGCAGTTCTGGCCAGTGTTCACGGAAAGGAGCAAATAAGGGTTACAGGGGGGACGATGGGCAGCGATGCCTGGAAGCTTGTGGAAAGTATGGGTCTCCGGCTCCACACTGGGAGGGTGGGATTTAGGTGGGGCTAGAGAGTGAATTTTTAACAAGCTTTTCTGCAGCCATCTCCTCAGCCCACTGTGGACTGAGGAGTATTTTCATTATTTGCTGTTGTTGTTTTATGTTATATGAAACTGCGGGCCTAGGGGAAATGTAGTAAAAACAGCTGCAATAGCAGTAGTAGTGCCTTGCCTTTTGTAGCTCTCCGGTCTGTTGCAGCACTTTCTCTCTGTAAAGGGTTGTAGTCCCATTTCACAGATGAGGGAATAAATTGTGGAAGAAAAAAAAGAGATTGTGCCTGTCTGCACATGTGTAGTCTGCAGTTTCTCTAGTTGCCCAGTGGAGTTCACCCATCTTTGTCCATATGCACAGAAGACCCCATGAGGTTCTTGCAGGGAATTGGGAATAATTAGGCTATGGAGCCAAGGAGGAACTGACAGGTAAAATGTGTACAGGGTGAAGACTTTGATGTTAAACTTCCCTGGGAATGCTAGGGGGGTCACTCCAACCCCCTAACTGCACTCTCTTGGGCAGGGGGCCCCATATATGATGATCCCTCTACACAACACATCCTTCTTTTCCCAGAGAGACCCTGGAGATGGAAGGGCAACATCTCATGACTGTCCTCACTTCAGGGGTGAAGAGTCAGGCTGCATGTTTTTCTGTGGCCTCTCTCCAGAGTTCCTTTTGAGAGCTTATTGTCCTGGTGCCCATGAACCTGTGGACCATCTGGTAGCACAGAGACATTTGGCACCCAAGCAAGCAATAGTGAGAGACACTGGAGAACACCCTTGAAATCAAATAAAATCAGTACAGCATTCAGATAATCCCCTTCACCTGTACACCCAGACTTCGGTGATCATGTTATCTCCACTCTGTTTTCAAAATGGAATCCCACTTGATCTAATTCTCTGACTCAGGGAGGTCCAAGCATCTACAGTTATAGTTATAGAAAAGTAATGTTATAAAAAAAATTTAGTAATGATCTGAATCTCATTACCTTGGCCTCTCTTTCATCTCAGTTGCTTTAAAAAATGAGATCAGCAAAGTACTCAATATGTATAGCACATGCCAATTTAAGGTCTATAAATAGCCCAGAGCCTGTTATCTCCTTCACATGTTTGACTGATAGGATTAAGCATTTTCCTCCCTTTGGGGAGCTTCTGATTCATACACAGATGTGCACACCCACATGCACACAAGCGTAATCAAACCTCCCTCCTGCCTTGGCCTTACTTTCACCCACCTCTTATATGCAGGTATTCGAGGGTATTTTCCTATACACTCAGGTTATCTTGTCTCTTTCTTTAACATTTTTTCTAAGACTATGAGTGTTCAGGTATAAGAAGTACAGTTTCAGTTGGGTGAATGTTACTACAAATTTGTCTCAACCTTATAAATGTCACTTCAATGCCAGGGTTGTATAGTGAAAGAGATGTGATTTCAAAGAAATCAGGATACTTTCCCAAGGTGTGAGAATCCGTGTAGAGTTAATAGGCACTATTCTTATTGCATGTAAACCAAGATGAGATGCAAATCTTTCCTTTAGGATGATTTTGGGGGATATAACCCTTCCTGCTTCCCCTCCGCTGTGGCAGTTGCCTTGCATCTGTGCTGAGCCCTGTCCTCTTCCAGAGGGACTTTTGTGTGGATGGTAGTGATTTAAGCTTTTTTAAAACGAGATGCAAAAATAGAAATGACATTTTTCACACAGAATTCAGTGAGCTGGTGTTCAAAGTCAACATTATGGGAGAAAGAGAAGGCATAAAGAGAGAGGAAATTTCCTAAGTGAATCAGGTGATGTGGTATGGGAAAGTAGATATTGCCCCAAATCTATCTCATAACTAGTTGACTTAGAGGGATATGTTTCACACAAAGCTCATAAAATTTCATTTGTAATAATCACTGATGATTTAAAGTAGGAATAACAGAATGGCAGTTGTTACAGGAATGTAAAATGAACTAATGGAAGACTCATACCCTAGAGTCCCTTATAGTCTGATTGGAGAGAGGAGCTTCATTTGCATAAACAGAACATTGAAAACTAGTGATTTGGTGCATTTGTCTAAGAACTGAAAAGGGCAAAATGAGGTGAATGATGGGAAACACAAAAAGAGCTCTCGCTGAAAACTACATTAACAAAGCATCTTGGGGGGCCTCCCCCGGTGGTGCAGCGGTTGAGCACTGGGCTGCGAAGATCCCCGGTCGCCAGCGAGGGTCCCACATGGGGCGACAGACCTCTCCTGTCTAGCCCGCTTCTCCCCTCAGCAGTGTATTTCGTCAGTCTGCCTGTTCTGTTCCCCGCTCTGGCTCTGGTGAATTCTCTCACCCTCCCGCGCTTCTGACTGTACCCAGTGCTTGTATAAATAAATAAATAAATCTTTAAAAAAAAAAGCATCTTGGGGCCCTCCCTGGTGGCACAAGGGCTAAAGAGTCAGCACTATGAAGCAATCCGCAACTGCTGCAGCATGAGCTTGATCCCCAGCCAGGGAGGTGATCCGCATGGCACAGCAGACCTCTCCTGTGTCTCCCAATGCTCCCCTCAGCAATGTATTTCAGTCAATCTGCCTGTTCTGCTCCCCATTTTGTCTCTGGTGAATTCTCTCACCCCTCCATCCCCACACCTCTGGCCTGTATGCCAGTTCTTGTATGCATAAATAAATAAATCTTTTTAAAAAAGCACCTCGAAGGACATCGGGAAAGATGGAGTAGAGAAGATGATTCTAGGAGATGTTGTAGGTAAAAAGATAATAAAAAGAGTCTTGTACATTTCTGAATCTCTCGTGCTCAGCAGAGTGCCAGACACAGACAATTATTCAAATTGTTGCAGGGAAGCCCCGATACAAAATGGGTGGCCTGACTGTGGGTCCTCACCCGCGCACTTAAAAGGACTTACCAATACTCTACTGCAGACACACACGAAAGGTTAACAAAAGGTTTAGTCACAAGGAAAGGGCAAATGAGGAAATGTACAGCTCAGGGAGAAAAGAGGGAGACAAAGTTTTAAATACGTCCTACCCGATCCGCTGATCTGGAATCCCAAATGGCACTCTGAGAACTGGCCGTGAGACAGTTGAATTTTATTGGCAAAGATCTGAACATGTAGTAATAAGAAGCATTTATCTGAAGGCATTTTGGGGACCTGGTCTGAAAATCATTAAGTTAGGAATAATGTCTTCAACCTCAACAATTACATTGGTCTCTCTTTAATTTTTCAACTTTACGTTTGCCCTAATCTAACCAGGCAACTGTTCTCCATGTACTTACCTGAGGAAACTTGTTGGAAACAGATGAATTTTGGCAGTTTCTCCATAAGTATGGGGACCCCCAAAAGTCTAAAGAGAGTCTGGGGGAGCAGCAAAATTCATTGATTAGTGATACCAAAGCTACTGTTAAAAGCTGTTATTATTAAAAACTTACTATATGCTAGAGCCTTGTCCAAATACCTAACACCCATTATCTTTTTATCCCTCACAATAACCCAGTGTGGTAGGTACTTTTTATCTTTTCCTCCAGATAAGGAAATAGAAACTCAGAGGGACAAGCAACTTGTTGAAGGTCACACAGCTAAAAATGCAGTGACACCGGGATTCAACCATAGTACTTACCTGAATCCTGAATCGAACCTTTAAGCATTTCTATTTTTTTGTCCTAAAAGGTATGATTTCCTTTGGACACCAGGCAGAGGTAGGTCCTCATTCGTTTTTATAGATGAAACAATCAGTGCTGTCATCCCGCCGGCCCCCCCTGCCCCCCCACACACACACCGAGGGAGTGTCTCACTGCAAAGGAAAACTGAGCAGTCAGCTGGGAGTGGAAGAAGGGACGCTTCTTGGTAGAATTGCAAGAACTTGAGGAAAGCCTGAGGTTCATTTTTCAGTTGCTGCAGGATCTGGCTAGCATGAACCTCGCTCCTAAGTCTCCCACATGCACACCATGCCCCTGAGGACCAGCATTCTCCTCAGCCAGGGTGGAGGTGCCCACCATGTTCCTGGTTGTTTATTTAGGTCACTTTTACTGATACTGGTACCAGTTGTGGATTTAGGCACACACCCAGAATCTAGATCTGAAGACGCCAGGATGACTGCGGACCCTAAGGGGAAAAATGTTCATAACAGGTCAGACCGTTTCGTTTTCAGCACAGTGTGTTTATGGGGAAACTAGGTATATTTGCTGCACAGCAATACTGGATACAGGTCGAGCTCCCAGATCACTCTCTTCCAACTAAGAAAAAAAAAATTTTTTTTAAAGATTTATTTATTTTATACATACAAGAGCTGGGATACAGGCCAGAGATGCGGGGGGTGAGAGGATCCACCAGAGACAGAGTGGGGAACACAACAGGCAGATTGACCGAAGTACACTGCTGAGGGGAGCAGTGGACGAGACAGGAGAGGTCTGCCTCGCCATGTGGGTTTCTCCCTGGCCAGCCGGGGATTGAACTCGTGGTGCAGAGGCTGCAGATAGCTTCTAGTATGATGCTTAACCCCTTGTGCCACCAGGGAGGCCCTAACTATCTTTATTTTAAACTTGGGGAAACTGAATCACAGAGCTGGTAGGTAATTTGCTCAGGGTCACATGTCTGATCCATTACTGAAATGGTCTGACTCCATAGCCAAGCTATTCTCCATTTCTAAAGAGTAATCAAAACAGGAGAGGTAGGTTGGTGCGTATTGTGTGTTTGGGGAGTGAACCATGGAGGACA